AGAGAGAGAGAGAGAGAGAGAGAGAGAGAGAGAAGAGAGAGAGAGCGCACTAGGACACTAGTGTGTGGGAGGAGCTTATTGGGCAATCTCCATGCTGGTCATTGTCTTAAAGCTTGGGAAAAGGTCTCTCGTTTGCCTCTGCACAGGCTACCTGGCCCCAAAGCTTCAGGGGATTCTCCTGTCCCTGCCTCCCACCTCCCAGTCAGAGCACTGAGATCACAGATATTCATGATCCCATCCGGCTTTTTGTAGGTTCCAGAGATCAGAACTCAGGGATTTATACCCACAAGACAAGCACCTTACCTACTGACTGATGTCTCTCCCTAGCACCAAGCTCATTTTTACCAGGGGGCTGATCCCACTCCCGAGGGCTCCCCCCTCTCGGCAGGATCATGCTTCAAGCTTGCTCTCGATACCACCACATTGGAGATTCGGTTTCAACCAGACAATTCGGGGAGCACACAAACATTGAGTCCACATCCAAAAAGGATAAGAGAATGAAACTAGCCACAAAGCTCCAACACTTGAATAAAAGGAATTGTAGAGAGGCAACCGAGGGTATAAAAACACTTGTTAAGTGGATCACGGGGCTTTCCATAACTGAAACAAGGGAGTTTCCTGGGCTGAAACGTCCTGTTGAAAACCCATAAAAAAGTTAAGTGGGATTATATTCCACACGCTTCACACTGACATGAAACGTCAGAAAGGAGAGAGAATGAGCATATTCTAGAATCTGTCTGGAGTGGTGGGGCCAGAGGGGGCATGAAGATGTCCATATGAAGGTGTGGTGGCTTGAGTGAGAATCGTCCCTCACAGGCATATGTGTTTAACACTTGGTCCCCAGTTGGTGGCACTGCTGTGGAGGTTAAGCTACCTTTAGGAGGTTGAGTCTTGCTGGAGGAAGTCCATTGCTAGTGACAGGCTTTGAGAATTTATAGCCCACAGGTGCTTTCCAGTTTGCTTTCGGCTTTGTGTTTGCATTCGTGTTTTTAAAAGAGAAAGTAATTTCTTTCAGGGCTGGAGAAACAACTCACCGGTTAAGAGCACTTTACTGCTTCCCAGAGGATCCAGGTGTGGGTCCCAGCATTCACGTTTGGTGACTCACAACTACTCATAACTGCAGTTCTGGGGAATCCAACACCCTGTGGTCTGCTTCTATGTGGTGCACACACATTCATGCAGGCACACATACGTACACATAGATAAAGTTAAATAAAACTCAGAATTGTTTTTCGAAAGCTACTGAGAAGCCAGGCCTGATGGGGATGTCCTTCTGTATTATGTTTTTCTTATTGGTTGATGAATAAAACAGTGTTTGGCCAATAGAAGCAGGAAGGTAGGTGGGGCTAGGAGACAAGGAGAAGACTGGGGAGAGAGGCAGGAGGCGTGTGAGGGGACGCCATGTAGAGACTGGGAAAACAGGACATACCAGGCATTCTCTGGTAAGATAAGGCCATGTAGAAATACATAGATTAGTAGTTATGGATTAATAATTAAGAGAGAGCTGGCCAATAAGAAGCCCTAGCTATTGGCCAACAGTTTTATAATTAATATAGTGTCTGGGTATTTATTTGGGGCTGAAACGGCAGTGGGACCTGGCAGGACAGGAACTCTAGCAACACAGGCCTGACAGTATGTGCCTAAAAAAAATTCCAGCACTCCTAACTCTGAGGCAGAAGGGCCCTTCCCTTCGCTCCAGGTCAGTGTGGGCTACAAATCAAGATCCTGTATTTCAAGCAAAAGGAAGAGAATTTCAAGAGCTCTGCGGGACAATCTTTAATGTCTTTTTTTTATGCCAAAAGACAACAAGCACTTACTTGTTCATAAAGAGTATTATGTGATCTCAGACTCATCAATGGACCAATATTTTCCTCAAAAGATTCTTTGGGGAACTAGGAGCTGTCAGGCTCGCTGTGGTAGGTAAAAGTTTTTCAAAATTCTGAGGCTGGAGAGACGGTTCAGTGGTTAGGAACACCTGCTGCTCTTACAGAAGACCCAGGTTCTCTTCCCAGCACCTGGATGGTGGCTGACTGCCCTCCATAACTCCAGTCCCAGGGGACCCAACACCCGATTCTGGCCTGTGTGGGCACTGCACTCACATGGTGCACTGGGCACACATATAAGCAAAACAGTCATGGACATAAAATAGATAATAGTAAATCTAAAAAGCCCTTCAAAAATCCAATTTTCAATGGAAAATACAGTTTTATGACAGGCAAAAAAATATTGCTGGTGGTTTATTCAGACAGATTAGACTATGTGGTACATTTATTAAATATATCACCCAAATGCCCATCCCCAAAGGATGACAGTTTACTGGAAAACCCTTCCTGGAAAAGGCGTGCAAAGTGACCCACCACCACACAAGCCACCGCACGCCTGCACACAAAGCTGTCCATGGAGCTTTGATGACCCGCTGAGGAGCCTTCAGAACCATTCTCCTATTGCTACACAACATAGTTTTTAATCATAAAGTCAGTCTTAGGGGAAATTAGCTTTTTATTTTTTTGTTGTTGTTGGGTTTTTTTTATTGCTGTTTTATTTGTTTATTTGTTTTGGGGCTAGGATCCCATGGAGCCTGGCTTTATGATGGAGGAAGACCTTGAATTTAGATTTTCCTGCCTCTGTCTCCCAAGCTCTGGGGTTACAAGCACGTGCCACCACTGTGGCTTGTTCTTATGCAATGCTGGGGGTCGAACCAGGGCTTAATGAGCCTTGGATTAGCACCTAGCAACTAAACTACATTCCCAGCTCAACCAGTCTTAAAACAACAACCAAAATAAGCCAAGAGCATGAGTCCTTCATTTGGGAACTGCTGAGTTAACACTGAACTTCTATTTTTCACAAATTGCACCCCCCTCCCAGAATGCAAATGTCACTATAGAATTAAACATGTCCTGGATTTAGCATTAAAAGTGCTCCCACCTCAGCCAGGCGGTGGTGGCGCACGCCTTTAATCCCAGCACTCGGGAGGCAGAGGCAGGCGGATCTCTGAGTTCGAGGCCCGGCTGGACTGACAGCCTCCAAAACAATACAGAGAAACCCTGTCTCGTAAAACCAAAAAAAAAAAAAAAAAAAAAGTGCTCCCACCTCACATGTATCCTGAAAGAGTCCTGGAGACATCCAGAGCTGTGAGCACCACTGTCCTAGGACACCCACCAAATAAAACCAGCCAGTTTCCCTCACATGCAGCATGAAAGAAACCAGGTACACACTACCCCAGACGACATGAGGAAACGCTCACAAAAGCACCCCAGGATCCTGTGGCTCAAATGAGGAATTCCCCGTTGAAGCCACTGTTCCCAAGTTCACAAATACTTCATCACGAAATAAACCTCAGCATGAATCTCACAAGCCAAACTGAGGCTATCAAGCTGCTAGCCCAGATTCTAGTTCAGACATTTTCAGCTGCACTGCCTTCCTGACTCCTTGCACACTTCCCCTCCGTCCTCTCACTAAGACTGAGACGAGTGGGAAGTGTGCAAGGAAGTGGGAAGTCATCGAACTCAGGAGCAAAAACTGGCCTCGCTCAGTGACCAGGCAGCCTGGAAGTCTGGAGGAAAAGCCAGGTTTGGAGTTTCAGCAGTGATTATGTGGTTGGATCATTGGCTTTGCCAAGCTGGATTCAGACTTACATTTGGCCATTTATCAGCTGTGGGACACCCTGACCAATAGACTTTGGCCTTTCTCATTTCCTTATCTGTAGAACACCGATTATACCTACCCTCAGAAATCCCAGAGTAATGACAACCAAAATAATGATTCTGGCTTTGCAGTTACCTACTAATATTATCGCCACCGAAAGCCAACACAGTAGGTTCATTTGCAGCAAAAGTCAAGCCTGTAGCACATGGACGAGTAATGACGCACCTTGGCTGTGTCTACAACATGATGCAATGCAAAAGTTTACAGAGCAGTTGTATGCACAAAGCTTAGGCACAGACTGGGTCCTCGAGGAGCTGTGAATAGACAACCCAGCACTCAGGGAAGACGGGCAGATAGTAGAGGACTGTACTACAGCACCTTGGAAGAGAGAGACCCCTTGTCTACCCAGCTATGTCCATCTTGAAGCGTGGGGTGCCTCGTTCTTCTACTCAGGGATCACGCTCAGGAAAGCCAGAGAAATGTCAAGCTGCCAGGGGCTGCAGGGCCCCATCAGTCACCTTCCTGTGGGTTGAACGCGCTCCCCGCCACCACCAAGGCTCTTCCCTGTGAAAGCCTTGCGCACTTCACTTTAAACGAGACAAAGAGCCAGCTGGCATGAGAGAGCACACCATGGGGTTACTCTACAAAGTGGACTTCCCGAGTCTCCTGAGGGCGGGATGCTGTCATCCGCTTGCTCCATGTAACCCCTGGGGTTCTGGAACCTTGAAAGCCAATATCCAAGACCTGACACTTGCTGGCTTCATCTTGTTTCTGTGTTATCGTAAGGAAGGCAAATTCCGCCAGTGACAGGGCTTGCTGCTTCCTGTGGGGATGGACCTGTGGCATCCCTACCCTGTGCTGAGGAAGAAAGCTGGGATTCTTGCAAATGTCACACCCACAATGTGACTTTTGCTTACAGAGGTGACAAGAAAGATGAAACTTAGGGACAGGAAAGATGAAACAGCCACTTAGGGATAGGAGACTTGATTTTGAAGTCAGCTGTGCCTCGATTCCCACATCTGCCAAGCAGGAGTAATTAAGGTGATGGGGGAAAGAAAAACCCGCTGACAAGTTAATAGCAGTGTTAAACATCTCAAAGGGAAGAGTGTCAGGCAGTCCATCATTTAGGCAGACCCGCAAGACAGCCTCAGGAAATGCCAGAGGAGCAGAGTCCACCCGACGCTTCCCAACTCTGGCCTGCAGGGGGCGCTTGCTTGCCCCAGGCTTTCTCTCCGGGGGAAGCTCCGTGGTAGGATCACCTTTACCAACCTTTTTTAAAATCCCAACCACAGGGATGCTGTCCCGCCTAGACGTCTCTGGAAGCCAAACATTTCAGAACCTTACAGAGGCCATACCTTTCTTCCTGGTGTATCGGGAGATGAACGCAGGAGTTCCGCCGAACTGGCCGCCGGGCAGTGCTGCGCCTTCTCCAGTTTTCTCCCAGCCACAGGGAACACTTCTCCGCTCTCCGTGTGTTCCGTCCACGTACCAGTCAGGGTTCCCTAGAAGAACAGAACCAAATGGGACGAGCAGGTTTATTAAGTCGGTTTTTGCTAAGATCTGAATTACCACCACCACCACCACCACCACCACCACCACCACCACCACCACCACCACCACCACCCCACAGAGGCTGAGAACACCGTAGTTGATTTGTCCTCAAGGCCGGGAGCCTCAGCAGTCAGAACAGCCCCACAGTTTTCTTACCGAGGCCAACAACCCTATTGCTGTTCAGTCACGAAGTTGGAGGCCCCGGGAGTCCCAATCTGGAGGCAAAACCCTGTACGTTCCCTAGAGAGGTCCTTAGTCCGCAACTGAAGCTTGGAAACAGTGCATCAGGGACGCAGCAGCAGCAGGTGGATTGACTTGGTAGCAGGAGGGAAGGCCAAATGCTCAAAAGACCTTTTGAATCCTGGCTGCTGCCAGAAGGTGCCAACCACAATAGGGGGCTGTTTTCTTGCATCAGTTAAGGCAAACAGGACAGTTCTTCAGGCGATGCTCCCTCCTCGGCCGTGGGTACCTCGTGGCAAGCTGACATTAAAACCAACCAGCCGCTTTGACTCCTCCCCTTCCCCACTCTCTTCCTTTATGAATTCTGCCGCGCTAGGTATCAACCCGGGGCCTCACACGTGCTCAGGGCGAGACCTGTACAGCTGGCCCGTATCTGCAGCCTCTCTCTCCCTCTTAACGCAAAGCATCTTCAACAGGTCAACTCTGTGAACCTGTTCCTCTGGGCTCCTTTGGTCGCTTACTCCCTCACACACTCACACACTGCACTGAGAACATCTTTTTAAAAAGGACGCTTCTGCTAGCGGCCTCCTCTTGAACTGGACGCCATGCTCCAGGGACTGGGATACACTTTCACATATGTAACCTTGATACCTTGCAGAGGTCTTTAGGACAGACATCTTTATCCTCGTTTTTAAGAAGGTCAGTACCAAAAAAAAAAAAAAAAAAAAGAAAAAAAGTTCAGAACCGTTGAGAACGGCTCAAATATCCACAGCTGACATCGCACACTCGGGGATCCAAGCTCCAGGCACTGCAGCAGGAGCCAGAGATCCCCACAGCCAGGATGCTGTTGCGTTCGCTTCTGACCCTTGGGTTTCATTGTGTCCTTATATAGAAGAAGTCCTCGATGAGGGTGTGTATAACTGTCAGCCAGATATTTCTCCTCCACCGGGCATGCCCCTTAGCATCCCGCTCGCCCTTGCTTCATTTAAGTTTTGCCCAGATTCCCATGAGGTAGGCATCATCATTATGAGCGCCTAGCACAGCACCTGACAACACCCCGTGCTGAGTGTGGTAGCCTCCGAGGCACAGGTGCAGGAGCTGAAGCCAGGCAATACCAAGTCCATGGACACGTGGAGAGGGAGGCAGCAGGGCTGGGATGGGTTCAGGTGCAGCATTCTCCATGACTGGGGCAGGGAGGCTGGGAAATAACTACCTCTTCCCTCTTCTCAGGATGATAACAGCACCTAGCAACTCCTACCAGAACAGGACTTTTCTGAGTTGAGCTTTCTTGACCATAGAGTGCTGAAGTGGTGTTTGGTAGAATCCATGCATGGACAACTTGGAAATCTTCTTAAGTTCTGGTCTTGTGTTTCTTTCCTCATTTTTTTTAAAAACCAGACAGTAGAACAGCCTTGTCACCTAATCAGCCTGAGTCTAGTTCCTGCCTTGATGAAGCAAGGGGTCACCAGGCTCAAGCCAATGACAGAGAGCAAGAGAAATGTGACACTGCTGTAAAGACGATTCCATTGACCCTTAAGATTTGCACGGCCATGTGCTTCCTGACTCTCAGTTAAAACAGATAGTATAAGGAGTCACCCCCAAAGCAGGCAGCTTCCACAGTCGCATGCTTCCTGTTTCCAAGGGTCTCTGGATCCCTGGAGAAGTCACCCATGTCTCCCTTTCTCTGACTTTAAAAACCAAATTTGTACATTTCTCTGCTCACCTGTGGTGAGGAAAGAGCCCAGCACGGGGCATTCATCAGACTCCTCACTGCAGTGACTGCATCAGACTGGGCACGCATCACACTTCTCTCTGCAGTCTCCTAAGAAGTGCCAACAGCTGTGTCCCCATTTGTAATAGCTCCAAAATAGTCACAATATGTATCAAATGCTTCCTGATCCTGGGAAGCCCACCACCCACCTGTTCCATTTTGTTTCGCAGAGCCTGGGATTCCTTTATAAACCCCCCACCACGAGAGCAGAACCCCAGGACTCCGTGGAGCCAGCGCAGAAGGTGAGCCAGTCGCAAGGACTCAGTCAAGCCCTTAGGACCCTGAGTTCAGTGCTAGCGGATGGGGACTGGCTGGGAGTGGCTGAGTAACTCCTCCAAGATCACTGGGATGCCTGTTCCGAGTCCCACCACATGTGCAGTCCCCAGGAGCTTGGGTTTTCTGTCAGTTGTTTAACTGTCCTGGGGAGATGGAGGGGGTGGTCCCTGCTTAGTTCCAAGAGAGAAAGGAGAGTCCAATCCAAAACCCTCCTACTGGGCACCCAGCAGACTCTGGGAGGTGGACCCTCAGACATGAATGACAGACTCTGCCCTTGCCCTACAAAGCCCAGGTTCATCCTGTGGCTAAAGAAATAAGGTTTAAATAAATATAAATAAATACAAAATAAAAACCTGCAGCTAAACTGACAGTCTTGTGTTCACCATTCCCCCTACTCATACCACCTTCTCTCATCCTAAAACACACCACAGCCATCCCACAGTATTCACATGGAATCCATTCTACAACCTCCCAAAGACGTCCAAATCCACCCGCAGATAATCGAAGTCCTCATCCATTCACACGTAACTTGCGTTTATCCTCCCAAGTATACCAAATACGCCACAGATGGCTTTATAGTATTGAATGCTATGCAAATGATCATTGCTGTGTCGTTGAGGGACTGATAATGAAGAATTCTGCACACGTTCAGTACAGAACAGATGCGATCTTTTCATACATGTAGCTTCAATCCACAGTTGTCTTGAGTCCACTCTGAGAATACAGGACCTGTAGGCACAGAGGCTGGGCCATTATATCGCCTCCACGAGGAAGTCTTCCGGACCGCTCCTATCACACACGTGGCCATTGCTCTCCAATCACATCCTTCACCTGCACTGAGCTACCCAGCACTGCCAGGCGTATGCCAAAGGTCAGACTTCTTCACACCACATCTTTGGGCCCCCTTCTGCTCTATGTCGGTCAGGCCCTATGGCCAGCTCCCACACAGCACCTCTTCCCAGTAGCATGCCGGTGAGCACTCAGCCCATCCCAACATACTCTAATTCTACCGTGCCAGCATGATGCCATGTTTGAGCGTGTACCAACCACACTGTTTCTACCGTGCAGATGGAACTCAGGAAAACAACCTGAGAACCTGGACGATAGACAAACGTGGTCAAATAACTAGGAAACACTAACTTTCAGATACGTGTTACCCCTTTTGCTAACACAGCTCTTAAACTTTGGATTTATATAATTTGATTAATAATAAACGTCATGTTTAAATACTAGCTACACTTGTAACTCCTGGCTCTGGTAAGCTTCCAAAAATGGTCTCCATGTACCAGCGTGTATCAGTCCACCTTCCTGGTTCTCTGTGTCTTTCTTGGTGGTCTGACTGTTTAATGGCCTCCTAGCCCATCTCTCATCTTCTGGTCCCTCTGCTTCTCTTTGTAAAATACAGCTGAGTGCCCCCTCCCCCCCTTCACTGAGTGCCCCCCTGCTTCAGGACATTAGCAGCTTCTCAGTGACACCAGAAGAAAGTCACTGTTCCTTGCTTATGATTCCAACTGCCTACTTTGGGAAAGGGAAACTGATACTCTAGATAGGAAAACCAACTAGGTCTTCCCAGGGCTCACCCAACTTTTAAACGGAAAGCCTTGTGTACTCAGAAACCTCTAATCCTGAGCAAGTCAAGACCAGCTGTCCAGTTGCAAATGCCGGGTCACCGCTGCCTATGTCCTCATCATTTTTTGAAAACCATTTCCACATCTGGGAATCTCTTCTGCTACCCACAAGACACCTGCCCTGCCAGATGGACTTTCCCCCCAGGACTGTGCCCTATTCCAGTCTGGCTCAACTTCTCTTTTCCCATCAATGCAACCCTACCTTAGTATAACCATCTGAAATATCTGTCACTTGCTATGACAATTTATTGCTTTTATGGAACTAACCAGTGAATCCTATTGACTGTTATTCTGAAAAGTCTGTGGAACCTTCCTTTTCCATCACAATAATAATTACAGTAGAAACCAACACCTTGGACTAAATTCAACAAAGTGTATTCAAGAAAGAGAGGACACAGAGCCATGGGAACCAACAAGTACACAGAACTCAGATTCCTCCAAAAACGATTTGGTAACAAAATTTATTTTTCAGAGAACATACCATAGGGCCATCACACAAGCTGGTAAGTAAAGTCGGAAATGGCTTGTCTGTCCCACAGACGTGTTGTTTTACAGAACTGAGACACGGAACCTGCAAAAATATCAAGGTGAGTTCATGATTTCCCACATGGAAACTCTCAGACCATAAAGGAGTAGCCTGACCACACCGTCTGGGATTCCCTGGTTCCAAGTCTGACTCAGAGCTCCTTACACACACCGCTACCATCTATTGAAGTCTACTCAAGGTCAAGGTCAAGTTTGCCATTGAGCTAACCTGTGTTAACCAAGCTCCGTTTCCCACACCGATGACAATTGTTACTAAATTGCTGTAATAGGCGTCTTTGTTGTTTTCTTTATAACTCAGGAGCAGGCACTGTGACTACAACATACATGTGTCACCGTCAGTCGGGCTTGTGACTGTAACACTCATTGTTAATCCACCACAGCTCCCCTTCAGAGCCCAGGGGAGCTTCAGGAACCTTGCCAGTGCAGCACTCTGGATGGCTGCAGCAAAGCAGCCCCGGTTAGGGTGTGAGGTGAGGTGCCACGTCTCGTCTCTGAGAGCCTGACTACATCCCTAAGCAGTCCCATTGTGCGTCTTAGCTGTTCACCCCTTCTGAACAAGTGAATCTGTAGCATTAGAAGCGAAGTCAACAACGCCTGCATCTTTTCCTAGAAGCTGCTAGCGCCAGCCAGCCAGGTATGCAACTTTGCCCTAGTAAGTGCCGAATAACCGCTCGAATGACTGAATAGAAGACATTAATATGATAATAAGCAGCATCTACATAATGCCTCACTACAGGGTACCATGGTTACTTAATTCTCTCAACAGCCGGAGGAGCAGGGATGGCTTTGCTGCTTAGTCCCCCTTAGGAGGTTCTGAGGGGCAGAGAGATGATGGTTCCTCGCTCACAGTGGACTACCAGTCTAGAGAACTACAGTGAGGGCTCTGATGATGAAGAGACAAGGTCTGAGAGGGCATGCAGTTTGCATCGCGGTCACCCATTTGCATTGTACCACCAGGGCCTTGCGACTAAATCCCAGAAATGCTCAGAGACACTGGCCCTGCATCCTGCACCGCGCGCACCCGTCTGGGCTCCGCCTTCACGGCTCTCCTTCTTCCTGGTGGGTTAATTAATCCTCCTCAACGCTGGGCAGCAGTAATGGGATCAAGAAGAGAGCCTCTCCGCCTGAGCTCCCAAGGGTGGCTGGCAGGAGCCCAGGAGGAGATGGAGCACAGCCTTCAGTCCGTTAATTGTTCAAGAGCAAATCATCTGTCAGCTGGAAGCCGGGGAAAAGACTCCGCCACCGCCGCCACCGAATTCAGAGCTGGAACAATAAATAATGCTCAGAGCTGTGAGCTGCGCCCCGGAGGAAAATAAAGCTGCCCACATTCGCTTCT